TATATCACTGTCCATACTCGCATATACGTCCAATCTCGCATTCGCCTAGACAATCTCAGATTCGTCTGAAAATTGTACGTCCAATATTTTGTCGGCAAACTCTACATACATGTCGGCAAAACAATTTGTCGGCAAAGTGGTGTCGGCAAAGTGTTACGTCGGCAAAGTTATCTTCGGCAAAGTGATTGCCTCCCTTTATGAGAACTTGTTGCCTACAATACCATATTCTTATTGAAAGAATCGTAAATGTAGAGAGTATATCAAACATTGTGAATTGTTTCTAGTTCAACATTTCTGCAATGAAGAGTTATAGATTTAATTTCTATTAATCATGAAAAAAACTTGTTTTAACTCTTACATAAATCCATATTTATTCTTTATATTTTCAACAAACAATCAAAATAAGTATCATTCTTAAGTCTTGTGTTATTTTATGAATAGTTTTACAATTCTACTAAAATCTCAAACTTTTATAATACTATTTTTTCACCTAAATTTTATAAGCAATTGTTAAACATAATTCCATATATGAACATGACATCTTTAATTGGCATAGCTATGATTCCATAGAGGTATATTTTTATCTTTGTAATTATCACGAGCTATGACGTACGTGACTCTGTCAGAGCCTTTTCATCATAATTAGTTACATAGATTTAGTTCGTCTTGAATGTAGATACAACAAGAACTTTTATCTGTTGATTATTTTCACTCCATGTCAAATTGATGCTATCTGCTGTCACTGAAAGAAATAAACCAAGTATGATATAGATGAAAAACAAAGAAAAACTAAATTAAGTACCAGGTACTTAAAATTATCTCAAGTATTAATTGTAATTAAAAAGTAATTTAACTACAGAATAAATATAACATGCTTCTTTATTCTTCAAATTTTTTCTTCTGGACTGTTGACCAATTTAATTTCCGTTCATAGGCTATTAACAAAAGTACTCTCAAAAACTAGTTAATGATCTCTTGTGTCTTTAAGATGAAGAATTCATATTTCCTTTAAAAGTTTACCTAATTCTCTAAACGTCCTTCTATTATGTCATTCTTTTCCTCTTATACGAATATATTATTTAATATCTTGTTAAAAATTTACTAGATATGTATGATTTTGAAGAATTCTTTGCAATTCTTTATTTCAATTCTGGTTACATATATATTTTTGTGTTCTCAATTAAATTTATTATAATTATTCTCACTTTGAAAGAAGTTTTTTTCTCTCTCAACTAACAGTACAATGTAATTTTCTTTTGCGTGTATCACTTGCATGTATATTTCAATTTTGTTTATATTTGTCATTTAGTTAATATCGTGAGTTTGTTATTGTATATAAATATATAAAAAAACATCCAATAATTAACATCTTAATTCTTTTTAATTAACATAATGGCAAGATTTTTTCTCATGATATTTTATAATATCGTTCAAATCTTTGATAAAAAAAGAACAGAGGATTTATTTCTATACATACAATATTAAAGATTTTCTAATTCAAAAGATAAATCTTGTTCATCATAAACTTGACAGACAAAAAAAGAACGTTAATCTGTGCGGACATTTAATTAAATATTGTCATTTAATTTTCATCATTTTAATTCATGTAATGTGTCATTATGACCAAATTCAACCATGGAATGTAGTTCGTTTGGTTTTTTCGGGGACTCATTAACATAATTAAGAGACTTCCGAAGAGTATTCTTTGTTGAATATTTCATTCCGATTCTAGTATTTTTATTGATTATGGTTTGTTTTTCGTTGTTCTCATTTTTTTCTTCTAATTTTTGAGGAACTTGTTGTAGATTATTCGTTTCATTATTATTGTAATTAGTATTACTATAGATATCCAAATTCCTCTTGAATAATCGATTTGATTTAGGTAAAAAATTTTCAATAAATAGTTGTTGAAATTTTCGACGAAATGATTTTGAAAGAAATACGAAAAAAATAAAATTCGTACCATAATGCATGTTACGTATTGTACGAAGTACATGATCAATATAATGCATTTTTAATAAATAAATTGAAGAATTTAATCTTTCTGGACGCATACGTTTTATATAAACATTATAAGACCAAAATAATCGATAAGGTAAAGTTAATATTAAATAAGTTAATGCAACACTAACAAGCATAATTGTAATTGTTCGATCTCGTGAGTAATGTCTTTTTTGTACAGTACCTTTAAGGGTTGTAAGAATTTGTGAAGGTTTTGATTTAATGGTACGTATTGGTAAATCAGTTGATGTTGCTTGATCTTTTTGAGTTCTTATTAATGATAATTGAGAAGATTTTACTATATCAGATTGTGTATTTTGAGTGTCTCCATTTTGTTTATCTGATGAACTATTATATCTATACAAAATAAGTTCTTGTAAACAATGTAATGGTTCTCGTTTTTTTTTAATTGGTATTAGAGATTGTCTTGTATTTGTTGATATAGTCATAACATTTTGCCGTTGTCTTAATGCTATGATAATCATTATATTCATTGCCGCAACAAATGTTAATGGTAAGACATGTAAAAAACAAGATAAGATTATTCCAATAATATCATAAGCATACTCATGGTTTGCACTATAATAACAACGTTTCCAAATAATAGCATATGTACGAGTGACTTTTTGTTTTAAATCGAAAACATGGTGATTTGTTGATATAATTGGTCGAAGTTCATGCATAAATATTGGATAAAAACAACATAATATACCTATTAATGTAATAATAGCAATACTACGAAATGCTTGTAAATGTTGACGGTATTTTATATTGCGTGTTAAACAATAACAACAATTAAGAAAAGAACAAATCGATGACATTCGTGATGAAGGTGTTGATAATGAAATATATGATTTAGGTGGATGTTTTTTCTGTTTACGATCATTTTCATAAACATTATTTTTCATAGGTCCAGATGATGCTGTCGATACAAGAGATGACACATGAAAAAAATAGGACGATGGACGACATACAGAATACCAACGATTGAATGATATAGCGCACATATACCAAGCACTAAGTGCAGCAAATAATTGATCAGGACACATCAATGCTTTACTAAAAGGCAAAAAAGAAAAACAAATAATCATAATTAGAATTTTCTGAAAAAGATAAAAAAAACTACAACAAACCATAAAAAATTTGATTTATCCCGAAAATAACCACGTTCAGGTGTTCTATTAAAACAATTATCAAGCCAAAATATAAATACTGGTATTAATAAATTAAGTGTATCCGATATGTTGAGCATGATTGTATAAAATGATACAGGTAATTTAACAATATTACAATTTATTAAAATATATATAGTAAGAAAATTACCAATGACACCGAATAAAATCTAGAAAATTTTTTTTTTTCTATTAAAAAGATTTCGAAAAAAAATTAAAGAACAATTTACCAAAATTGGATTTAATATAAGGACAAACCAAAGAGATATTATTGAAAGAAGACGATAAGAATTGGCGTCATTTACTGATGAAGGTAATGATGAAACAAAAGACAATGACGATGAAAATAGTGTTCCCGAAAATGGAGACGATAAACTTGAACTTGATGTATTATATGTTGTCTGATTATCCGATATTTTAGACAGTAATTGTTGAAACATAACTGATAGATGTTGTAAACCCCCGGAATAACTCATATTATTATTCATATTATTTTCCGTATGGTCATTAAGATAGTCATAAGTTGGAAATAAACTTTCATTATTTCCTGGTACTTTATTGGCAAGATTTAACATAAAATTATTGACTAATTCCGTATTGTATTCAGGAATAATCATTTTTATTTCTAAAATATTTAATTAAATAATCAAATCTAAAAAATAACAGATTAGTTTATATTAAATATATATAATCTTACATTTTTTTATTCTACTTTTCTTGAATACTAAATAGAAACTTTTATTTTCTCAGTGTTGATTTTTCTCTTAATATATATAGGAACAGAAAATAATTGAAAAACTAGTAAATGTATCTCTTGGTTGATCGCACATAAACATAGTGTATGGTAAGTTTAGGAAATCTTTCGATGAAAAGAATAGGACACAATATAGAGAAGTTTAACTTATTTCCGTTTTCTTTTGCAGACATAATAAATTAGAAAGACAGAAAAAGAATTAAAAAATTTCAGTCAAAATGCACGATCCAACAGTAAAACTATACTGTCTATATCAGTATCAAACTAGTATGACAACATAAATGTATATAATCCCTTTAATTAACATAATAAGAAGTCATTACAACAACGATTAAATAGGGAGAAAATGGCAGTCTATGTCGTGGAAGAAAAGTGTCCTTCCATGGGAATAAAAAAAACCAAAATCACGAAGAAGTTAAAAAAAACTAAGGATTAAAAATGATCGTTGCGTGTTTCTTTAGTAATATTATGCCTCTGTGCATCATGCTTTTGACAATGCTGAAATCAACAGGACTTTCGAAGATAATGTATTATTAGTTTATTCACCTACATGCGCGTGAATTTCTTCAAAGAATTGCAACAGAATAACAAAAAAAGAAATATGATATAAAGAAATATTTGATATTAAAACAAAGAGCATTATATAATATATACGATGAAGAAAAGTAAAACTATTCTTAACTGATAGATGACAGATGATGAATGAAAGAGTTATTATTGTGAAAAGTTTTTTTTATCTCTGAATGCCATTCTAACGATTAGTTGACATGCACCTTTTCTAGACAGTTTTTACAAAGAATAATTATCTCTTCATTCACTCCTAGTAAGGAAGCAGAGTGTGCTAGTTTTTCTTCTTTTTGTTTTTTACTAATGTCTTTTTTTCTATTTTCTTGTTCTTTTAATTTCAAGTTCTATTAGTATTGTCTGCTTTGACATATGGTGAATGAGAAAAAGAAAAAGAGAAAGAAATTAGCACAAAACACCGTATTACTTGTTGATAGAAAACAAGCGATAATTTTTTTTTTTTTGATGTATTGGATTAAAGCTTTTATTTAGATTAATAACATGTCCGAAATAATATTGCGCAATAAGGAAATGTGTTTATTTTTCGATAATACAACGATGTGTAATATCTATCCTATCGGCATTTTTCTTTGAATCATTCGAGCTGTAGTGATTTATTTTGATTTTTAAGCTCAAATCTAACTAGGCATACTAAGATTGATGCACAAAAATAGTAACTACGTTTTATGGCATAATAAATTATGCTGAAATATTTTTTTCCGTTATCATTTTTCTTTGATGTATAATTTATATACTGCTTACATAAACAACAACTCCACAAAATATTAAAAAACTCAATTCGTGTAATATTATTTTATACTTAGAATGACACGCAAATAAATGATGGAAGAGAGATATTAAAAACTGAATTATTCATTATTTTTTTTCTTAATATATAACTCGGTTGTATATTTTTTCTCTCTCTCTCTCTCTAGTTTCCGGACGTAAATGACATTGTCAGAAGGAGAAAATCAGTTTATGAATGTGTGCACTCAGAACACTCGATAATAGAACATAAGAAAAGAATATTTTGCTCCATCTTATGTTGTTATCATTCCATTGAAGTTAACTTCGTTTGCGTGTACTCTATTTTTGCTCGGAGATTCTATGTTTGCATGTATGATGAGTTCTTTGAATTATTACTTCAATGTATTGTATTATTTGACACCTTATGATAATTTAATTTTTTGATGATAAAGACAAGCAAAAGCAACCAATAAATAATATAAAAGAAAAAACAATAATGTAAAATCGAATCAACATGAAGAAACAAAAAAACACAGTTGAGTATGTATATATAGTGTTCGTTGCTAATCATATTAGTATGAATTAGATTCAATGTTTTTCACGTGAAACGAGACTTGCTCGACTATTTTGACTGCTTTGACGGGATACAGATTGAAATTTATCTTTCTTTTTAGGATCAGGACTTTTGCCACCGTTGAAACATCTATTAAGAGCATACATGGCTACAGAAAATATGACAGCATTAATAACCAAGTAAAGAACCCAATAGAGTGCTAATATAATTGCCAAATTTTCTCCATCACATACTTCAGTTGATGTTGATGCTGTAGTGGTCGACATACTAGAATAGATAAGCAATAAAATACAATGAATGAAGTAATATTTGACATGCACACAAACTTTATTTTTTCTTCTTTTTAACTTGATTCGTATGGCTTTGTGAGTGTGCGCAGAAATTTTCTTAGTTTTTTTTTCCATTTTTTGTATTGATTGCAAAACAAGCAAAATGCCCATGAGAGGCACTGACTCAAACGCTTTTATTTTCGAGTGCACTTTGAATATTTCAAAGAATCAACATTACTTTTTGATGCTCTGTGTAAAATGAAAACGATTTGACTGAATGAAAAGAAAAAAAATGAAAGGAATGAAAAACTAATAAACATAATGGTGTGTGACCAGATCTGAAACGCACCAAAGCAAAAAAACAGATGTGTTTTGTCGAATGTTTTGCACATCTTGAACTTTTGTTTTTTCATTATTCTATAACTGTTAATGGTAGATAAAGATAAATAAATTCATTGTAGACCAACGTGAATACTTGTTGTCGGACAACAATCGATATATAAAGTAGATTTAAGAACGGAAACAGAACATGATTTGATATTTATATATAGAATAGAGCAACAAAACGGAAATAATCATTTTCTACATATATAATAGATCATTGCATATATCAGAGCAAGCTGCCATTTAAAACCGAAATAATAGAGTCGATTGAGATTATTCAGTGTATTAAAAGATAGAAAAGAAAAATAATTGTTTTTCTTTTGTTGAGTGCATGCTTCTATGTCTCATATTCAGTGAAGGATACTGTTGAAGCTGAACAATGTTACTCATCTGATTATTTTCTACTTTTTATTAAACAGCTATTCTTTTTTAATTGTTTGATGAAATAAAATAGACCGACAAGTTCAAATTTTAATGAAAGGATATATTTACATTTTTTGAGTATTTTTTAACAACCATTAAAAAAAAGACGAAGATATTTTATTGTTATTTAATGAAAAATAAGAAGATCATATCTATTCATTTCATAATAGTCGAAGACATTATTTTTAGACTGAAACTCATGTAACTTCAAGTGCATATCATATTAAAATATAATGATTCATAAATAATAGTTGCTTCATTAATATCAAATAGAACCTTCTATATCTTTAAAATAATATGTCAACATAATTGTCTGAATAAAATTCAATTATTCCATGAAAAATTCACACAATCCTGTTGTAAAATTATAGGAGAAAAATTATGCATTATTTTATGAGCATGTTAAATATTTAATATAGAGTATTTTTGAATAATTATATTAACCTAAATGACGAAGATTATCTCGGCAACAGGTGATGCAAATGTCTTTGCACAGAGGTCAATTCATTTTTCATTGGGTAAAACATGTGTGAACCAATTTGAAAGTACTTTCTAATTGTACGTTCAAGAAAGTTCTATTATGTTTCATCTTTCAATAATAAACACGTCATTAAGCGTTTGGGAACGGGTGATCCCGTATGAGATCATACAGGTTTTCTAGAATTTGGAACCACACAGATTCATATGTATTATCAGTTTTCGTGAAAGTATTTATCAGGAACTTTTTTGGTGTAATTCGGATTGTAGATTATTTTATTCTGATAATCAATAATACATAATAAATATAATACAACTGACTTGTACCGAAAAATTCTCTAAACTCTCAAATTTTTGTCAGAAGCGTTTCTGTCTTTATAGGAACATGTTAGGTGATGTTATGCGTATAAAAGATATGAGCATGTTCAATGTAATGTTTGTTCATGTGTTGTACCTTGTTTTGAACTGTATCACACTTTGAAAAGCTTCTCAGCACGCTTATTTATTAAAGGTTTTTATAAAATAGAAATATAGATTGATTTATGATCAGAGATGCAGAAAAAAAGAAATTTTATTTTGTTCCGAAAACTTCACCACCAATAGATTAAATAACACTAAAATGTAGTTTATATAAGGAAACAAATATTACAAAAAACACTAATCCCCGCAGTATTTTGCAATTTCTTTCAGTGCATTTCATGAGATGACGCTTATCTTTTCTCTATCAGATTATCTTCTCTATTCTTGACAAATTATGCGGAAAATACTATGGAGTTATTTGAGATAATATTGAGAAAACTTACTCTCGGTCCGCTAGCGATTTTCAAATTTATGTTTGTATTGTTGTGCTCATTATTTGATTTTGTTGTTTCTAGCCATTGACTCGGAAATATTGATAGAGTGAATATTTCGGATCATGCATAGACATCATCTCAAGTGGCTTTATTAAAAATGGCTCCATTCGCATCCAGAAAGTATTTATCAACTCATGATTGTTTTCACATTCAGTTTTGACCTTATTGTCTTACACCATTCTCTTTCTGATTGCCGATCACATGATGTAAAACGATGCTGTATGGTTTTCTATAAAGTTTGTAGAAATTTGAGCGGCACATCAAAACAAAAAAAGAGCAACAATATACAATCAATCGCATTGGGCAGAATTTAAAAAACACTTAGAGTCTTTTTTTTCGTGCCCACTGCTGTCAGCTGTTTTTACAGATCACATTTTAGTGCTGTTTAAAGACGTAGTCTCAACTTAACGACAAGATATGGTAAAACTTTGAAAGAGCTTTCGACATAGATCTGTACAGGTAAATACTTTCAAGGTAAAATGGCTTTTGCATAATCATTTTAGTTAAAGACTAGTGTCTACAAATCAGAGACAAAGGTAAAATATCCCTCTAGAAAAGTGAATATACTATC